GAATGAGCTAGTGCTCCAGTGAAGTGCAGCAGGGTTTCTTTGGAATTTGTCTGTCACCAGGCACTTAAAAGTTGAAGCAAGTAGAGTAATTTATTATCTACAGTGTTTATTTCTGTCAGAGGGAAATGACTGGCAAAGAAACTACTGCAAAACCTGCCGTTCTGTGACTGAAAACCAGGGGGTATGCACGTGCGTGAGCGTGTGTAAGTGTGTGTGTGTGTCCTTGCACACAGGTGCTATCTTACCTTTCACTCGAATGTCCCTGTTACACAGCGACGTTGACCTTATCCATTCAGAACCGTCAGCCACCAGGTTGTTTCAGGCAGGAAATTTAAACCCAAATCTAATGTTTGCCACAAATTAAATGCTCTCCTAAGAACAGTGATGGTGAAGCAATGATTGTTATAAAAAACAAAAATGAGATTAAGTTGCTTTTTCACTTGTCTTTGATTATACCACCTTAAGGTAACCAACTGCTGACAGTGTCTGTTTCTTTCTAACCTGTTTTGTGTGTGGGTGATGGTTGGGCTTTTCTGCACAGCTGTCATATGGTGGCTTCTATTTTATGTGTGTTTCCCCTTAATTTTCAGATTTGTCTGATCCTCTGCCCTAAATTTGATCAAAACTACTTAACTTATAAAAAAAATTAATTTAGCAGAAATTTGCAGACTGTTGTGCTTGTGCCAAGAACACCACTAGATGACATGACACGCATAGATTGGGCAAGTGGAGGGAGAGAGAACCCACAGGGATCATGGGACATAGCAGAGAGGATGGAGGTAGGAGCCATATGAGTGCATTCAGGGCTGGGCTTTCCACTGTCTGCATGACCTCAGGCAAGCTTCATGTCTTTTTTTGAGCCTCAGCCTCCTCATCTATAAAATGAAAATAATATCACCCACTTCACAGAGTGTCATGAGGATGAAATGAAGCATTACACGTCACATGCCTGGCTGATGGTCACCATTTCTTCAGGGCGTACCATGTGAAGGCAATCTTGTCATCTTAGCAGAATCCTCTCCTCCTTCCTTCCAAAGGCACTCTCCTTCCCCAGAGAGACTGGGGTTTTTGTTGTTGTTTGTTTTGACTGAGTACTTTGGTAAATGATACGGGCTGCTTGAAAACACTTGATAGTTCAGAGTGACAGAGGGGATTTTAGAGGCCATGGTGGGAAGAAGAGTGGGGAGAGAGAATGGGGCACCTGGCTCAGGAGGAGCTTTGGGGAAAGAAGGGAGATGTTCAGAGGGGTTTCTGTTGCATAATTTTGCTGTGTGTTGTGTGGAATCACCTCTGCTCTCTGCCTCCCAGGGCTGGTGGTAAAATCCACCTCACATGGACTGCATGGCAGTACCAGGTCAGTTTGGGGGAAAGGGCCGGAAGCATGGAGACCACTTGGAGCAGCCGGGGGAATGGAACCACCCCCACAGTCAGCCAGGACACAACCAGATTATGTCACTGTCCGCGAGCTGCCTCTCCTGGTCCCTCCGCTGCATCACCCTCCAGGATCCTGGCACAAAGCCTTGCCTGTCCCTTCCCCTGCCTTCCACCTCACCATCCCCTCCCTGGCTCTGCTCCACTCCCTGCAGTCCCGCCTTGGTTTGGCAAGCCCTGGCCCCCACTGTCTGGCTTAAAGCAAACTCCTGTCCATCCTTTAGGACCCAACCTGAGCAGCTCGCCCCTGAGAGGGGTCCCTAGCAGCTCAGCATGCCTCCTTTGGGCTGTCTATACCTCTATTTAGCTCTTAGGTTTTTTTCATTTTGTTCTTTTGTCCTAACTTTCCTTTTTTTTTATTTTTTAATTTTTTTAAAAGTGAGACAGAGGCTCTCTCTGTCACTCAGGCTGTAGTGTAGTGGCGTGGTCTTTGCTCACTCCAACCTCTGCCTCCAGGGTTCAAGCGATTCTCATGTCTCAGCCTCCCGAGTAGCTGGGACTACAGGCATGTGCCACCACACCCAGCTAGTTTTTGTATTTTTAGTAGAGATAGGGTTTCACCACATAGACCAGGCTGGTCTCAAACTCCAGACCTCAGGTGATCTGCCTGCCTTGGCCTCCCAGAGTGCTGGGATTACAAACGTGAACTACTGCACCTGGCCTAACTTTCCTTTTATAACTCGAATGACAAGGAAACACATCAAGCCGTGCTCAAGCTAAAAATTCCCATTTGTGCATCATAATGAGAATTAAAATTGTTGACCTGTGACAGTGCGCTCTCTTTCAAAGCTGACACCAGTTGTGGGACGGGTAGTTACCATAATTATTCCCACTTCACAGGCGAGGAGACTGAGATTCAAAAAGGTAAAATATCAACACAAAGTCCTTTCCACACCCCACCCCCAGGCTTCTCCTTCCCACTGTACCCAGCTGTCCCCCTAGGAGACGGTGAGCCCAGGGACACGGAGGGGTGGCTGTTGGCGGGCACTCTGGGCACCCCTGGTGGATTGGCTCTGTAGGTGCTGCCACCCTTTCCCGTCTGGACCCTGCCCACCTTCTGGATCATCTGAAGGTGGTTTGAGCCGTGTCTCTAACTTGCTCTGTGGTCTTGGGGAAACAGCCTCACCTCTCTGGGCCCTGACTTTCTCACACAAGGAAGGGGCTGCACTTGGAATCCAGCGCAGAGGGAGGTGTTTCTATCCTCCGGGACCCTCCATTCATGGAGAGTTGAGAACGGTCAGGATCATCTTGGGATGCTTTTCTCCTGTCAAGAAAAGAGCTTGCCACAGATTTCCTCATCGTCCACAAATTCTGAGGAGGTGGAGGGACAGTGATAGAAAAGAAACAAAATGGACCTCCCTGTGGAAATTCAAGACCTGGTCCTAGTTTGCCTCTTTCCATGGTTCTGTGGCCACGGCCCCGTTCTAGAAGGAGCCAGCGGCCGGGCCCTTTCTGCTGTCCTCTCTGAAGTGGAGTGATTGCTGGTTGATTATAAAGTTGGGCGATGCACCTGGAATGCAGAGGAGCTTTTATTCCCCTGCAGAACGACTGACTGGCAGTTCTCAAAGGGGCCAGAAATTAACAAGTAGAGAGGTGTTAGGACAGTGTTGACATCTCTGGGAAAAACAAATGCCACAAAGATTCAATTGACAATCTTCTTGCCATTCAATAAGCCAGAATCCTTCAGAGTTACACATTTAGCATTAACATGGGATACAGGAGCCACAAATTAAATTTTTACTGCAAGCAAATTTATTGAGGAAGCCACATTTGTGAGGCGTTTTGCGGCATGAGAGAGACTACTACCGAACTCAAGCCCTTAGGCCATCCCTTACCCAGGTCATCTCCTTGGTATGACTTAGCCTCTCTGTAGGAGCTGGAAGGAATTCAGAAAAGCAAGATAGATTGTTATGGCTTATTACATCAACGTGTGTGTGCAGGAGTTACTTAGAATCCAGACAATCAGCTCTTCAATGCTATCTTCCACTATTTTGTCAAAGTTCTAAATGAAGCGTCATCTGGTACTCAAGGGACCATATTTCAAGAGTTCCGAGAAGTGCCACCTTTCCCCCTTTCGTAGAATAACAGGAAAACACGTGCTTGAAGCACAAACAATCCATTCGGTTCTCCAAGCTTGGATCAAGCTAGATGTTTGTTTCTGCAAGTGTATTTTTCAAGAGCCATGTCAGATGAGCAGATAAGGAGTTTGAAGACCCTTTCCCTAGGTGGGAACTGTTCTGGTAGGCCCAGCAGGTCTTCTGTCACTGCAGGTCCTGTGTGCTTCTTTAGGAGGAATGACAGCAGGGCTTAGTCATACACTTGCCTGTTCCCTTTTCCTTTCCTGCTCACCTTCCCCACCCCCATCTCATCTTTCATCTTTTAAATGCTATTAGTTTTCGCAGAAGGAATTGTTGAATTTTCACTGGAGGATAAATGATTTCCTTGCCTCCTAATGATAGATGTCTGCTGTATTGGTGTCATTGTATTAGGTTGGCGCAAAAGTAATTGCGGTTTTTGCAGTTGCTTTTAATGGCAAAAACCGCAGTGACTTTTGTGCCAACCTCATGTATGCACAGTTCTGTGAGAAAGGTTTAGCTCAGTCTCGTTCTGCCAACGCCATCCTCAGGGGCAGGGGTGGCTTCTGCCTCACCTGGCTCAGAACCTGATTCCTCCTGTGTGTGTTGAGGGTGGGGCCCACCTTTTGAGTTTGTTGTGAAAAGCTAAAGGGCACAATTGTTGGGGATGACTGTAGTTTCCTTCGTGTTTAGTCTCTGTTTCTCTAGGTCTCAGTTTTCCCAGGTATAGAAGGTGCCTAATACGGGAGTGGCCTCAGGTGGCCCGCAGACCTGGCGCGCAGTGGCTGTGAATTGTGCTCCGAGATGGTTACCCCCTTTTCTTCTCCGTTCCCATTCCTCTGCTATGTCTGGGAGAATGCCACCATTTGGGGCTAGCTCCTCTCCAACACTATTAAGTACCTGCCAACTGCCCTTTTTAACAAAGATCAGGCCTTGGGCCACCATGAGTAGGGAGTTGACAGTCATTGGCTGGAATGTAAAAACACTTTTCGATTTTTAAAAAATTATTACTGGCAATTACTACATCATTCCTGATTTCCTGTTTTATAAGTAGTGATAGAAAATGTATGTCTTAATACATTTATGTAAGTTCATTTATGTATTATGTAAATTAATACATTTTATTATTTACATAAATAATAAAATACATTTATGTAACTTCAGTAAGTTTACAGAGAGCTCCACGGTAAGTTCTGGCACCGACAGCAACCAGTCATGACAGCAGCTGCCAAGAGGGGCCAGGCACGGTGGCTCACACCTGCAATCCCAGCACTTTGGGAGGCCCAGCACTTTGGGAAACTCAGGAGGTCAAGTCTAGCCTGGGAAATATGGGGAAACCCTATCTCTACTAAAAACTTAAAAAAGAAAGAAAAGAAATCACCAAGAGGGAGCATATGTGGCTGAAGTTGAGGACACCGTACTCTGCAGGGTCTCTCAGGACGAGGAGGTCATGCAGTCAGGAGGCAGCTCCGCTTACATCCTTCTCTGTTCCAGGCATGGATCCTGAGAAATTAGAACGAATCCAGCTCCCAGTGCCAAATGTGGCAGAGAAGAACACCTACAACCATCCGTTGGCTGAAAGGCTCATCAGGATCATGAACAATGCTGCCCAGCCAGGTGCCCACTTGGGGTGTTGTCTGTCCACAGGGCTACACAGTCATAGGGAGCAGGCCCCACTGGGAGCCAGAGCCCTGGGTGCTAGGCCTGAGCCTTCTGAGTTTCCGGGCCAATCCCAGACACTCCCTCTGCCCCTCAAGCCCTGCATCCTGGGACAGCCCTCCTGCCTGCTAGGACTGTATCTTTAGCTCTGGGTCTCCTTTTTCCATCCCACCCCCTGCCACTTGGAAGCTTCTTTCTTCTCCTTCCATACCCCGCCCTTCCTTTGCTGAGACTGCCAGTGTTTGTCACTGCGCTCCCCACTCTCGGTGGCCCAAGGCAATACTGTGAGAAAGAACTAGGCTGGGAGTGGCGTGAGGGGAGAAAGTTGGAAACGTTTAAGGGGCCAGTATAGTAGAAGACTGAGTTTTGTTAGCAGCAACAATTGCGGGTAGGTATGGGAACAGGTAGGAGTGAGACTGTGCTTGGAGCAAAACTCTCTTGGAAGAGGCAGGTGAAGATAGGGTACGCTAGTGCTGGGCTGGGCGGGGTGGGGTAGTGAGACCTGGTGGAGCTGAGACCACTCAGGCTTGAGACCTGGTGGAGCTGAGACCACTCAGGCTTCTCCTTGATGGTCCCTGCATCTTGTATTATGTTGAGGAAGACTTATCTTTCGTGATAGCACTTTTTCATTTTTTAAGCAGAATCCCTTTTCTCGTGTATTTTCTCCTGACTTACAAGGCATTAAAGGGACGGGTAGGGAGGTGGGCAGAGGGGTGTATCTGCCTTTAGTTTTTTTCCCAGTGACCCATCGTGGTCTCTGATGTTTCCAAGGCCTTAGAGGCATAACGTGAGGACGACCTCCTTTCCACAGTGGGACCTTTCCCCAGAAATAAACTTTAAAGACCCACAGAGGAGTTTGCATAAGAGCAGTTGCCCTTAAGTCAGTCAGTTACAGATGCTTCTAGGAGAGATGCCACGTGTGGGTTTTGGCGCCCTAAGCACCTGCAGTCTACCACTGCCCCGCTATGAGACCCTGGATGAGTCACTTCACTTTGCTGAGCCTCAGTCTTTGGAGCACTCATTGCAACAGGTTTTTATAGAGATTCCTTGAGGAGGTGTATATAAGGTGCTCAACACTTTACCTGGCTCACAGTAGTAAGTAAGTAAGAGCATAGTAAGTAAGCTGTTTAAGAGCTCTGTTGCACTTGATGGAAACCCAGCTCACTCCAGCTTAAATAGTACACACAGACAGACAAAGCTGTGTTGGCTTTTAAAGTCTGCTGAGGCCTGGCTTCAGGCAAAGTTGGATCCAGGGGCTCAAACAGTATTTTTCTACATTTGGTCTCTGCCACCTTCTGGGTTGAGAAGATAAATGCCAAACCCCCCAGCTAGCTCTTTCTCCACCGAGACCCTAGACTTGCTCTGTGAGAGATGCTTAGCTTTGGACAGTCTAGTTGGAAGACAGATCTCAAAGTGGTATTTGCAGAGTACTTGACAAAGATGGAAAATGCTGGCAAAGGTGAAGAGGTGGCCGATAGATTATAATGCTAGTGCTCCTCAGAGGCTCACCACAGTCCTCTGCTTAGCCCAGTACAAGGAGAATTTTTCTTACCCAGAGTTTCCAGCAAATTGCGAGGTTGAGCCATACTGGCTGTGTGACTCCCTTGCCTGGTTCTTACCTCGTCACTGGGACCGAGGAAATGGAGCACACCATCTGGCCAGGTGATATGCCCAACCCTGGAAGGGGGGCAAGGAGGACCATCTCCACCCAAATCACATGACCAGAGTGGGACTGGCAGCTCTCTAAAGGAAATCGGGGTGCAGGGCCACTCTCCAGGACTCAGTAGTGTTTAGTCACCCTTTTTCCTCTACCCCCTGCCAGTAAATGGGCTTCAGGGAAGTATTTGGTATAAGCAGTTTTGATGGGGAACATTGAATTCTAACTGATTGGAATGGTTTTAGCATGGGGGTTCCCTCTGTGTCCCTACTGGATGTTGGGAGCCATGAGCAGTTGGTCTATCACCTGACCTGCTGACCTCGACATGGATAGGCAGGAGCCTTGGGCTGCAGGGCGTTTCACCGTGGGTGTGCAAGGCTTACCCTGGTGTGCTCTGCAGATGGGAAGATCCGGCTGGCAACGCTGGAGCTGAGCTGCCTGCTTCTGAAGCAGCAAGTCCTCACAATTGCTGGCTGCATCATGAAGGATGTGCACCTGGCCTGCCTGGAGGTGATGCCCTCTCCCCTCCTCCTTCCTGTACAGGGGCCAAGGGAGAGGGACAGGAGGATGGGAGGGCAGCTGCTGGCATCCAGATAGGAGCCCTGGCCCATGGTGTCATCAGTCACTAGCTAGAAGTTGCAGGGCCTGCTCTGCCGAGACTCACTGAAGAGTCCACTTAATTGAGTTTTAGTAGTTTCTGTCGCAGCTGTTTGGTTCTGTATTTGTCCTCAGAATTTTTCCTTTAGTATTACAAAAATTTTATGCACATAGAGACATATTCACGCATATACACACACTGATGATGGTTTTTGTGCTTAAAATATACATTCATTAAATTTTCAGTAGCTTTTATGTTACCCTCCTCTTATTTTCTGTGTTTATTTTAGAAAATTTAGGAAGTAGAGAGGTAAAAGTAACAACTATAGTTGACACTTTGGCTGTGTCTGTGCAGACACACACATGTGTATATATACACACATATAGGTAAATAAATATATTTAAGTATTATATAAGCAAATAATTACATAGGAAAAGAATTCTATTTATATATACAATATGAAAATATACAGTGTAAGTATATGTTTACATATGTCATGTGTAAACATATGCAAATATGTATATATGCAAATGAAATATTTGCATATATGTAAATGAAAACTAAGTATGTATATATGTATGTATAAGTATATATGTACACATACGTATAAATGAATTTTTTTTCTTACACAGTGTAGTTGGGCCAGGTGCAGTGGCTCATGCCTGTAATTCCAACATTTTGAGAAGCTGAAGTGAGAGGATCACTTGAGGCCAAGAGTTTGAGACTAGCCTGGACAGCATACTGACACACTGTCCCAAAAAAAAAAACAAAAGCAAAAACATTAGCCAAGACACACCTGTGGTCCCAGCTGCTCAGAAGGCTGAGGCTGGAAGATTACCTGAACCCAAGAGTTTGAAACTGCAATGAGCTATGACTGCACCACCACACTCTAGCCTGGTCCACAGATTGAGATCCTGTCTTTAAAAAATAAACTAAGAAAGGAGTCATAATGGCCTTATTTTATAACCCATTTTCCCCCAATGAGCTGTATATTAACAGCTTCTCATGTCATTACAGTCGAATTACGTATCCTTTCCCTGTTTTTATTTTGAACTCTCTCGTTAAGAATTATTTTATAAGCCAGGCACAGTGGCTCACACCTGTAATCCCAGTGCTTTGGGAGGCCGAGATGGGCAGATCCCCTGACGTCAGGAGTTTGAGACCAGCCTGGCCAACATGGTGAAACCCTGTCTCTACCAAAAATGCAAAAATTAACTGGGCATGGTGGCAGGTGCCTGTAATCTCAGCTACTTGGGAGGCAGAGGCAGGAGAATTGCCTGAACCCTTGAGGCGGAGGTTGCAGTGAGCCGAGATTGCGCCACTGCCCACCAGCCTGTGCAACAGAACAAGACTCCGTCTCAACAAAAGGGAAAAAAATGTTTTTTACGTTAAGGATGTTAGTCCAGATCTGTTTTATACACACTCATATTTTGGAATTTGTAGTTTGCCCAACTTGCTCACCTAGATGAGACCTGCCTCCTTCACACCTTCCTTCTCTTTTACAGGGTGCGAGAGAAGAAAGTGTTCACCTTGTACGACATTTTTATAAGGTAATTGGCAGAGCACAGATGGACGGCAGCATGGTGGGTCTTGTAGAAGCAGGAGTGTGATGTCTGGTTCTATGCAGATAAATGTTATGTGTCTTCAGTTATTTTTTATGCCTGTAGTTACTGAATAAAAATGCTCAATTTTATAGTCTCTAAGGCAGCAATATCTAAACTTTTTTCTGCCCATGCTCTTATCAGTAAAATTTTTGAGGACTCAGCTCCAGTATATGATAGTTTGTTTCTCAGTTATACATGGATTTGTTTATTTGGGAATAATTATTTGTAAATTATGAACTATATGCATATAAACACATGTGAGTAAATTATATATATATGATGAGCTTATGTTCATGAGTTATATGTGCTTACACATATAAAATTATGAGTTACCTATCAATTTATGAACTATATACATGCATATTATTTACATGAGTATGTGCTAAGGAACCTTATACAGGCTTCTAAACCTTTATTAAGTTTATTGAGATTTTGTAAAGTGCCACCATGACTTCCAGTATCTGAAAAATTTGCAGAGCTTTGTCTTCAGGCTCCAGATGGTTTTGAAAATATCTAATTATGATGATTTTGTTTTAGCTCTATAAGGCATATGTTTTAGTCTATTCAGGATGCTAAAACAAAATACTGTAAACTGGATAGCTTATAAACAATAGAAGTTTACTTCTGTCAGTTCTGGAAGATGGGAAGTCCAAGATCAAGGCAGATTTGATATCTGGTGAAGGCCCACTTTCTCATAGATGGAAGGCTCACTTTCTCAGATGGCACCATCTTACTGGACGACCTAATCACCACCCAAAGGCCCTACCTACTAGTTCCATCACCTTGGGGATTAGGATTTCAACATATGAATTTGGGAGGCATGGGGAGCCGAAACCCTCAGGCCTTGCCAGCCTCGTGTGTCTTTCAAGCAAGGCTCATCACTCGTCAGCCATGGTGGATTAATCCACAGGTCAAATAGTCGTTTTCTAATTTGCCAGCCCCCAGATCAGGTGTCTGCAGATCCTGCGAGTGATGGCTTCCCCTCTTAACGCGGCTGATGAAGAGCCTCCTGCAGGACGATGGTGGCAACACTGCCATTTCCTTGTTGTCCCCTGTACTTTAGTTATTCAAGTCCTGTTGAAGCTGCTGTTCCTTTGCAGGAATCTTTTTAAGCCACTATCCATTATTGTCAGTGTTTGTTGAGATAAAACAAGGTTATATAATTTGGGGATCCACCTTGCCAGGCTTAGATGACCCCATCCAGCCCAACAGTGGACATACCCAGACAAGGGCATGGGCCCCCACACCCTGAGGAGGAAATCCCACTTTCCCCTTAGAATATCCCAGACCACACTTGGCCTCCAACTGAGGATACACCCCTACTAGCAAAGCCCACAAGAAAGCAGAAACCTCAGGGTTGCGTTAGTCATCTTTGAGCCTCTTGCCAGTATAACTGCCCTAAGTTTATGTCCCCTAGAAAGCTTTGGATTGCAAAACCAGAAAGACATATAGGTAGGCATTTTCCCAGAGGTTATTCTTTATTATTAACAAAAGGAGAGCTCTATTTAAATTCTGGATCCCTTCTCCCAACCCAGATTTTTCTTAATTTTATTCTATAACATTTATTATACCCTAAGTATAATTTTGCAGCAGTTTTTAGGTGTTTTCAGGAATTGTCTTCTCTGATGGTGGTACTTATATCACACAAGAATATTTAAATTTAGTTGTAGTTCTGACAACTGAAAAAACATAAAAAGGATCTATTCCCTTTTCCAACCCAACTCTGTGTGTGTGTGTGTGTGTGTGTGTGTGTGTGTGTGTGTGTGTGTGTGTGTTTCAGAACTTCTGAGAGAGATATAGCAGTTGTAATGGTCATTATCCAGTAGAGATTGTAATGACAGTGAGTGCTCACACTGACCCACCCCTGACTGAGGGACAGGCTCTGTGCCTCCTTGCATTTCATGTGCATTAACTCATTTCATCTTCACAGTACCCCAAACAGAGTTGGACTGTCACACCATTCTTGCATGACAAAGAGGCGAGAGGTGTAAAGCTGGATTTGGTTGTGTGTCTCAGAGCCAAGTTTATGCCCACCACCCTGTCTTAAAGGGGACCTCCTGGGCAGTCATGACCCTGAGGAATGACATAACCCCCAAAGCACTCCTGAAAAACAAATGGAACAAGCCATGTTCCCCATAAACATGGGGTAATGCTAACCTTATTTAATTATACTCTTCCTTCCAGAGGTATGGAGGCTCGTATTTTTAATATGGTAATTTAGCCAGGATTTTCCATTTCTCCAGTCATTCTCGACAAACAGATGATGTTAAACACTTGAAATATTAGCCTTTTTAATGTTTTAATTCTACATAGTATTATTTTTGTTGTTGCTTTTTAACTAACTGCTTTGACACAAGAACTCTCCATGTACTTAAAAAAAAAAAAAGGAGAAAACTTTGAGTAGTGCAATTTGATATTTGGTCTGTCGTTTGAGCATGTGTGTTTGTGTTCACGTGTGTATTTTACTTCCTGGTGATTTACGAGAACTCACTAATGAGAAGCAGATGGCCCCCAAAGCCACAAACTAGAGTTTATAATACTCTGTTGTGTATGGAAAAAAAAGTATGAATAATATCCTCTTCCAACCTTTCTTTTCTTTTTAGGGAGAAGACATTTTTTTGGACATGTTTGAAGATGAGTACAGGAGCATGACAGTAAGTGAGGAGCTGGGACACACTTGGGCTGGCGTGTGCCTGTGTTCCTGCCAAGCTCACCCTGCCCATCCCAGAGAGGGGTTTTTTACTTAGAGCTTTCTCACCAAATAGCACAGATTGATGGGGAAGCAGATTTAGAATGGTGTCTTGTAATCCCCATCACTGTTAAAATTTCAAACTATATTTACTCCCCCTGGGATGGGAGGTGTCAAGTGAGTCACGAAGAGTCTCTGCTAGGAATAGTAATTTGGGGGCAGTATCATTTTATTGAGGAGTTACTTGGTGCTGGATGTATACAATATGTGGTACAGATTACATGTCTTCATCCTCATGCCAACCCATGGTAATAGCTACTGCCTTTGTCCCTTTCTTGCTGAATTAGTCTGTTCTCATGCTGCTATGCAGAAATACCCAAGATGGGTAATTCATAAAGAGAAGAGGTTCAATTAACTCACAGTTCCACTGTGGGGAGGCCTCAGGAAACCTACATTTATGGTGGAAGGCACCTCTTCACAGGGTGGCAGGAGAGAGAATGAGTGCAAGGATTAAAAAGTGCCAGATGCTTAGAAAACCATCAGATCTCATGAGAACTCAATATCATGACAACAGCATAAGGAAAACCGCCCCCATGATTCAGTTACTGCCACCTGGTCCCACTCTTGTCACGTGGGGATTGTTACCATTCAAGTTGAGATTTGGGTGGGGACACAGAGCCAAAGTGTATTACTTGCCAGTGAGGAAACAGAGAGAGGTCTAGTGATGTCCCCAAATCTGCCCGGCCAGTGAGTGGCAGGGCCAGGCTTCCAGAGCAGGACAGCCCATTCCCCCGTGCTTCTCCATGTATTATGTCCCTGCCTCCCTGTTTGCTGCTCCAGTGGAATGTTGCAGCATGGAGCTCTTCCTCCGATCTGCAGTGCCAGCATGGGCCTCCTTCCTCCTCCAGTAGCCAGAATCGTGGGAAGCCATCGGTTCGGAAGATCCAGCTTTCTCTAGTCTGCGTGTTTGTCTCTGTATCCCAGCACCTCCCCTTGGCTAGGCACTCCATAAATACATGATAAATGATCCTTCTTGTGGATATTACCCACCAAAGCGTGTGTGATTTGGGAAGTTGATAATGAACCTGAGTGTTTAAAGTGTCAAAAAGAAAAAGGCAGCATGCCCTAATTGGCTCCTTGGCTTCCCTGCCCGTACCCCAGGAATCTGGACAGCGGGGCCCTCACCACGTCCTCTGTCACTGCCTGTCTGAGACTGCCATGGAGTCTTTTCAAGGGAAAGGTGTAACTGGCATAAGTCATCTCCAGAAATGCCCTAGCGGCGCCCTGTGCCAGGCCTCCGTGGGCTGCACATTCACAGCCCCTCATCATTCCTCCGGCTCCTTAGAGAGTGGCTCAGTCTTCTACCCTTCAGACCATTCACTAGAGTGGAAGGGATTCAGTTGTCGTTTGCCATTTCCTCTTACCCCTGAGACATCCTCCTGCAATGTCATTCCCTCCAGTTTGGTTTCCTGTTTAGAAATGTCAGGCTCCTATGGCACTTGACCATGTGGAAAAGCTTGGGCTCCTAAACCCCTGCTCAGTGTCTACTCTTGGCAGTGCAACCTTGAGTATGTTGCTTAAATTCTGAGCCTTGATTTTTTTTTTTTTTTTTTTTTTTAAAATCCATAGGATAGGGTCCCTACCACAGTGCCATCCAGGCTGGATATGATAAAGCCAACAAAAGGCCTCATGTTGAGTCTGCACACCACAAATACTCATTTCCTCCTCCTCCTACCGTGGAGAGCTTCCAGGCTTTTGTTTGTTTTTTTATTTTAATCAAACATGTATTGTCTGTCCTATACAATGCTTGACGTTCCAGAGAAATATAAGGGTGCCACACCCTGAAGGATGAGGGCTGATTTGCAGATTTGTTGGAAGAAATTTCTTACAGTTCTGGAGATTTGTATCTGCAAATCAGCCCTCATCGAATACAGCTTCTGAGTGGAAGGAGGGGGACGGGCCCTCGGAGGCTTCGTCAGAATCAGGCCATGACTTGTGACCCTTCCTTTGTTTCCCTTATTGCCTCTGGTTTAATGCAAAAGGTGCAGTGAGGTGATGGTCTAGCTCTGCCCCCAGCAGGCTTGAAGGGTTCACTGGGAAGTTTGTGGGGGCAGTGGGAGTAGCGGGGAAGGGAGCTACAAGTGATTGAGTGAGGCAGGAGCCGCCACCCCTGCTGGGATAGAAGATTTGGAGTGGAGGACCTCAGGCCTCTGGAGGAAAGTACTTAAAAGTGTCCAAAAGAAAACCTTGCCCCCCTGGCCCGTTCACCGATGTCTCAGCCTGTTTTCTGCAGCTATACCAGAAAACCACAGCCTAATTTATAAAGAGAAGAAATTTCTTATAGTTCTGGAGTTTGGGAAGTCCAGTATCAATGTGCTGGCATCTGATGAGGGCCTTCTTGCCACATCATCCCATGGTGCAAGGCAGGAGGGCAAGACAGAGCAAGTGGGGACAGAACTCCCTGTTATAACAGATCCACTCTCACCAAAATTGAGCCACGCCTGCACCGATAACATTACTTCATTCATGAGACCTAATCCTGTCTTCGTAGGCCCTACCTCTCAACACTGTCACACTGGGGATTAAGTTTCCAACACGTGAGCTTTGGGGACACATTCAAACTGCAGCACCGGGTATCTGGGCAGCTGGGCCCTCATTGTATCCTTGCCCTGTGTGGTTAACTGTACCTAGCAGGAGAGGGCAAGTGTAGTATGTTTGAAGGCCACTTTCTGAAAAGAGAAGACACAAAGAAAGCTTGTGATGTTTGAAAGAGTAAAACGAAGGCTGTAGAAAGCTTACCCCTCCTCCATGATGCCATGGAAATGAAGTATTGGCATTCAGGAATACATGTGCATCAATTACCACTACCGATGCAGCAGATATCTGGGAATGGTGGCGGGGAGGGGGTGTCCCCTTGTGTCTTAGTCATGAAAGAACGCTTCGCAGAGGTGGTGTGCAAAGAGGCAGTCAGCTCTGGCCCAGTGCCGTGGCCATGCACCTTTCGTCCTCTAAGCTCAGGGTCCCTTCATGATGGGGCGCCAGCACCTGTCGTCCAGCAGGAGGTGATCCCAGCAGGTGCCTGGCGCTTAGTAGATACTCCAAAAACTATTGTGTTTTATTATTCTGGGTAAGAGGTGAAGGAGACGAGGAAGGAAGGAGGAACATTGGCCCTAGGATGGGAATCACAGAGGACCTGGAGAAGGGCAAGCCTGGGCTCATGTCTTGGCTCTGCCACCCACTAGCTGAGTGACCTTGGATCCATTTTTCTGCTTCTTTGAGACTGTTCCTTCATCAGCAAAGTGGGAAGCAGCTCCTCAAAAGCCCTTAGGTCACAGCCTGTCCTGTAGTCAGCTCTTGTTAAAGAGAAGCTGCCATCGCCACAGCTGTTATCATCATCACTGAGGGACAGAGAGAAGGAGGCCGGTGGCAGGTGGGCTTGCAGCTACAGGATAAAGCATGCTCAGCCTCCTGCTGAGAATCCCTGTCCCTGCTGAGGTGGAGAGGGAATGCCAGGAGGAGCAAGCAAGGAGGCAACTTCTCAAGGATCTGAGCTGCTGCGTTAATTAAAGGAAAAATCTGCGACTTATAAAACCAGAAGGCATATTGTTCCCTTATCTGGCTGCCTCTGGGCTTTACCTCCGTGTAAATCCAGGGTTTAGATTACTCATTTATGTTTAGTAATTGCGGGTGAAGGCGAGGAGCCTGTGTAACCTCCCCCGGCCCATTCCTACTCCCAAGCGAGGGACCTGCTTTGAGGTTTCCTGTGATGTCTCTTCTAGATGAAGCCCATGAACGTGGAATATCTCATGATGGATGCCTCCATCCTGCTGCCCCCAACAGGCACGCCGCTGACGGGCATTGACTTTGTGAAGCGCCTGCCATGTGGCGATGTGGAGAAGACCCGGCGGGTGAGTGAGTGCAAGACCTGGCGTTTCCTGGGCCACTGTTCTCCAGAACCACTCCCAGACCAGGCAGGAAAGGGCCTCTTTGTCAAAGTCAAGACCCTGCCCTCAACACAGCTTAGATAGCAGATAGAGAGCACACACTTGCCACCAGGCATGACTTTCCAAAGCGTGTTGCTCTTTGGAAAGTGGGATTTGGCATTCCATTGCATCTGCCACCAAATGTTGGCTGCAGGCAGGTAGCCTTCACCGGTATAGACAGACTCAAGCCCTGAGCTCAGGTTTCTGTGAACTGTGGCAGGTGAGCACGGTACATCCAGTGCAGGTGAGGTTGGTGTGAAATCTTAGTCCAGCGGCCTCAGGGCTCCTAGATATAGTGTGATATTAAGGCATCTCCCTGCTCTTGGGACACAGTTAAATGAAATATGCATCACGCCAGCTGCAGGAGAGATGTGTGTGAAGAGATTAGTTCTTAGAACAGCTGCAGTGTGTGCTTCTGTTATCAGCCCTTTTTTTCTGAAGCAGGCACTCTAGGAAGAAGAATTTGCAAGGCTGTTCATGGTATTTTATCTCCCGGTAAGATCAGAGTTTCTTTCTTAGAAAGCACCATAACCTTTTCCTAGAAAATCATTCCCTGGAGACATGAATATTTGTGGATAGTGTAGAGGAATTCATTGAATGCAGCTCCCCCTGTCAGCCTGTATCATCTGCGTTAATTGGTGTGTGACAGAGGTGTTTCGCTTTTGGATTTTGCAAAGCAGGAATGACCTGTCATTTGCACCTCAGACATGAGGAGTCTGAACCTTCCTCCCCACAGCTGGTGATTCTGCCTCAGAGGCCTGGGGGTGCAGAGGAAGTGGGACCATGTGTCTTGAGTCAATCTACATTTCCAACTGTCTGACCAAACCCACAAGCCTCACCGCAGGACCCACCCTGTCCTGGCCACTGACGCCTTCCTTCCATGTGCTCCAGCCAGGCGCACGATTCTGTTAGTGGGTGGCAGTGTTTGCACTGCGCGTTCTGGCATCAGCTTTCACTGGAGGACTGGTTCTGACAAATGTCTGTATGTTGCTTCCTGATGCTGACATGCTCACCCCCAGCCAGGGCTACAGCATCCTGTGCCTAGAAGGCCCTGCCTGGAAGATCCCCCCAGCCCCTGAGCCAAAAAGGTCCAGAGGCCTGAACGCTGAGCACGGCTCCTTTGGGTTCCACTCTGCCGTTTTTTGTTTTTTGTTTTTTTTTTTTTTTTTGGTGGCTACAAAGAGCTGTGATCCAGCCTGGAGTGCCTGTGTGCAGTGGTGCGATCATACCTCACTACAGCCTTGAATTCCTGGGCTGCCGCCATCCTCCCACCTCAGCATCAGTAGCTGGAACTACAGGCGCAAACTACCGTACCTAGCTAATTTTTTTTTTTAATGGAGTGTTGCCCTATCTCCCAGGCTAGAGTGCAGCACCACCATCTCGGCTCACTGCGTCCTCCACCTCCCAGGTTCAAGCAATTCTTCTGCCTCAGCCTTCCGAGTAGCTGGAACTACAGGCATGTGCCACCATGCCTGGCTAATTCTTGTAGTTTTAGTAGAGCTGGAGTTTCATCATATTGGCTAGATTGGTCTTGAGCTCCTGACTCATGATCTGCCTACCCTGGCCTCCCAAAGTACTAGGATTACAGGTTAATTTTGTAAATGTTTTATAGAGATGAGGTCTTGTTAAGTTACTCAAGCTGGTCTTGAACTCCTAACCTCAAGCCATCCTCCTGCCTTGGCCTCCCAAAGTGCTGGAGTTACAGATATGCACCACCACACCTGGCCCACACTCTGCTTTCTTTTGGTTCACAGTTCATCAGGGTTTTTCTTACCACTTTTGTGAATGCATAGCCTCTGTTATGAAGTAGATCAATTTAAATCAGCTCTTTATGTGGATTTCTTCTTTTAATTCTATAATCATCGTAAGAGATTTACATTGTTATCCTCATTTTACAAAGGAAGATTTTTTTTTTTTTTTTTTTTTGGAGACAGGGTCCCACTCTGTCACTCTGGTGGAGTGCAGTGGTGCCATCTCAGCTTGCTGCAGCTTCCACCTCCTGAGGTCAAGTGATCCTCCCACCTCAGTTTCCTGGGTAGCTGGGATTACAGGCGTGTGCCACGACACTCTGCTAATTTTTATATTTTTTGTAGAGATGGGGTTTTGCCATGTTGCCCAGGCTGGTCTCGAACTCCTGGACTCAAGTGATCTGCCCACCTCAGCCTCTCAAAGTGCTGGGATTACAGGTGTTAACCACTGCACCCGGCCCACAGAAGAAGAAATTGAGGCATGGAGAGGTTCAGTGATTTGCTTAAGGTCACCCGGCTAGTGAGTACCTGGGCCATGAGTCAGCCCAGGCAGTGTGGCCCCCAGAACCTAGACTCTTAGGCACTCTGACCCACTGCTTCCCACACTGCCTTCTTTAGATCTACTAGCTCTGCTTAGGACACAGGGATGTCAAAAACACAGCCCCAGTCCTGAAGGGATCAGAGTCTAGAAGGCAAAGTAAAGAGACAGAGGCAGGCCGTGTGGCTCAGGCCCTTATTCAAGCAGCATTAGGTCAGGTCACTAATCCCTCCTGGAGCAGGAAGTGGGACAGACACCAGATAGGGAGGCACAGGTCCAGGGAGATGTGGCACATTCTGGCACCTCCACGGTGGTGATTGAAGCTGGAGCCCACAGTGGGATGCGATGGGACTGGGAGTGCTGGCAGGAGCCAGATCATGGGGGCCTTGGAACCCCTTGAGAACCTTGGCTGTCACCTCTTAACATTGTTTCATGACCTTGTGGCCTGCTGGGCTGGGGCAGGTGGTCCTGACCATGGCAAGACATGGGAGAAATGCAGGAGTGAGTTTGTCAAACATGTAGCAGAGGGTATGTTGCTTCTTGTCTGCTCTGAGCTACTGTGTGTCTTCATTTGTTAAGTAGAATGTTTCTCCCTTTCCAGAGTTATCGTGAAGACTCTGCAGAAGGCCAGTGACAGGTCTTGATGAGTCTCTTTATCCCTCACATGTCACGTAGTTGCAGCTTCCCTGAGCTGTCTGGCCACCTCCCTTGCCCTGGATGGGATACACAGCCCAAGTGGCTAGCTGAAGCACGGATAGAGACCTGGAACATCTCAGCTTCCCTAGAGTCTCTCTGCCTGTCTGACCAGTTTCCAAAAGCAACTCTCAAGTCCTCCCAGGGTCCCTGGGTAGGAGGATGATATAAAAGCAGGCAGGCTACCTCAAAGCCAAGGCATCCACTTTAGAAAAGCTTCCTTTGTAACTTTAAGAATTTATTTCTGAAGGGTAGCTTTGGCCACTCATCTCACTACGGTTCCTGTTGCAAGGTAGCCATCTAGAATCATCCAGAAGCTTAGCCCCTCAGTCCTACTTCAGAAATCGGAACACAGCAGTGTGCTTTGAATTTGAGCTAAAGGAAGTTACGTGGTTTAGCAAGCAATTGAGGGCTTATGTGGTTCATTTCAAGTTTTTCGCTTGTGTCCAAAGAACATTCCAAGCTATTCGTTTAGATTCAGAGGTTTTCTTTCTTTCTTTTTTTTCCCCCACCAAGTAGGCTTTTTAAAGGAGGCTGGTCCTTTTCAGAAACTCCACCTTTATTTTCCTTAAGGATTTGTCAAAGAAGTTCAAACAATTCTTTCTGGCAGATCATTCCTAAATATTCATAGATTTATCAAAGAGCTGCTAGATTCTTGCTGTGTGCCAAATACTGTCTGCCTGAGGGTGCAGAAACGAGCAAGCCATGTCCCTGCTCTCTCTAGACCTCTCTCTTTACCTAGAGAGGTAAAGTTGATTAGCAAGTAAGTGAATAGCAGGTTTGGTATCAAACCACAGTCAGAGCTTTAGAGGAAAGAAATAGCCTGCTATAGCCAAGGGCTGAGAAGCAGTCCTCCTGCAGGTAGGGTGATCGGAAGAGCTGCTCTGCAGAGGTGACATCTGAGCTGAAACCTGGAGGGCGAGGAGGAGCCAGGAAGGTTAAAGTGATAAAGGAGGCGCTTTCCAGACAGGGAACAGCACATGTCCGGTCCCTGAGATGCGACCATGTATGGCATGTTCAAGAAGCACAGCAAATGAGGGAGGGGCAGCGGCAGAAGAAGATGGTGGCAGCGCTTTGCAGGCTGTGGGAGGCATCTCCCGATAAAGCAGTTTTCTCTCTTGGTCTAACTGACAAAACTGTTTTCCTTCTTTACAGCTTCTCTCAAGTGCCCCTATATGTGGGGTGGGTCCAGCCCAAGCCCAAAGTTCTGCTTGAACGTTCTCACGGGACCCCAGCAGCTCCAGTGACCTTCATTTTTTATTTTTATTTTTGTTTTTGGAGATGGAGTCTCATTCTGTCACCCAGGCTGGAGTGCACTGGCACGATTTCACTGCAACCTGCACCTCCAAGGTTCAAATGATTCTCCTGCCTCAGCCTCTAGAGTAACGTGAACTAGCATGCCCAGCTGATTTTTTTTGTATTTTTATTAGAGACTGGGTTCTTCAGTCTGTTGGCCAGGCTGGTCTCGAACTCTTGACCTCAGGTGATCCACCCACTTTGGCCTCCCAAAGTGCTGGGATTACAGGCGTGAGCCACTGTGCCTGGCCCCCTCGTGCATTTTAAAAACCACATCACTTATTCTTTCTTTCAACATAATGATTGAACATTTTCTAGGTATCAGGCTCTGAGTAAGATGCAAGACTAGAACAATGAACAAATAATATAAATAAGGCCAAAACAGCAAGGGCGCCACTGAGCCATTCCAGCTAAAAAGGGAAATTCATGTTGAAATGAAGGTCACTGAATAATATAAATAAGACCAGAACAGTAAGGGCGCCACTGAGCCATGCCAGCTAAGAAGGAAAATTCATGTTGAAATGAAGGTCACTGGAGCTGCTGGTCCAGTGAGAACATTTAAGCAGAACTTTGGGCTTGGGCTGGACTCACCCCACATGTAGGGAGACTTGAGAGGAAAGCAGCTTTGTCAGTTAGACCAACCGTGGGTCAAAGCCCAACTCCAGCTGCATGACCTTGAGCGAGTCACTCTCCTCCCGGAGCCTCAGGTCCCTCGTGTGTCCTACTTCTCAGCTGTTGCCCAAGGTAGATGAGAGTGGCTGTGAAGTGACAAGCCCAGGGCCTGGCAGACAATAAGCACTCAGGAAACATGGCTGAACAGAAATGGAGCAGTCTAGTATCTACGGTGGGAAAGAAAAGGAGTCTTTAATGATCTAAATCAACCAAAGCTTAATGCCAGACAAAAGAGGGTTAGGAATAGGAGTTTTTGGTGAATATCAAAATCCAGGTTTGAGCCACTAGCCATCTGTATGTAGTCATCTTGGAAGCTGTTCCGAAACAAATGTATTTGCACGAGGTTTTATTTGTCTCCATGTTGTTTCCCTGTTCCCTTCTAAAACCACAAGCAGTTTTTGTGTTTATCACTACTGACCTTAAGGAAATAGGAGATCTTGCTTTCTTTTTGAATGTGTATTACACAGTAAAGAAAATACAATAACATCTCATAAAATTTCAAAAGTAAAGGGAAAAGAATTTCTCATGATTTCATCACCCTACACAAACAATACTTAGACATCTTTTGTGCTCCTCCCATCTTTGTCTGTAAAGAGAATGTCCCAGGGTCTTGCTTTCATCCCTTCTCCTTTTTTTTTCTTTTCATCGTAGCATAAGAAGTTCTTCATGTTATCATAGTTCAAATAAGTCTGGTTTCTTATGGCCTCATGAAGAAAGGTTTATCTGGCATTTTCCTGCAAGTAGACATTTTGGTTGCTTCCAGTATTACATTATTTTCAGCTAAACTATAATGAGCAGCTTCATGAATACAGTGTTTTTCTTTCTTTTGAGTTATTTCCTTAGGATAGGTTCCCAGAAGTGGAATTTCTGGTTCAAAGGGTATGAACGTGTTTTTTTCATGACTCTCTGCACATTGCCAAATTGCTTTTCCGAGGGGCTGCGCCCACATTAAACTGCTTCGGCACTCTTTTAAGAATGACTGACTTTCACAGCTACGTGGCCTCAGTGGGCTTCTAACCTGAGAGACTGTTTCCTAAACTGGGTAGCTTGCACATGCAGCAACGAACGAGAAGGGTGAAAACTGAGCCTTTGTTCCAAGCCAGCTCCTGGGCTCAGCGCATCACCGGTGCCGTCCCGTTGTACTTGCATGGTGGGTGCCCCGTTTCCAGAGCACAAGCCTGGGCTTGGGCCATTCACGTGATTACCAAGCCCCAGCTTGAGCCACATTGCATCTTGAGCCACCCACTTTCCCCTGCTCATTGGACTGATTCCCCCGTGACATTGAGTTTGCCAGTTTGCTTCCAGACTCACTGAAGCAAAGAAACTGGAGAAATCTCTTTATATTTGAGCTTGGTCAGCTGTCATCCTTTTCAAAATCTAACCTGTTCTTCCTGGGTCAGTCCTTCCTGGTATTCTGTGGAAGACTGAAAGAATAATAATTTCTTTTTCCTTTTTAATAATACTTTTACATTTACCTCTTTACTTAGCAAAGAAAAGCAATCAATAAAACCCTGGGTCCCAAGCCTGAAATCTTTCGGAGGTCAAGGAGTGGAGCTTGGAATCCAGTTATTCATTGAGTGACCTTGGGCAGGCTGCCTGTCATTGTTCGGCTTTGGTTTCCCCATCTGTAAAATAGGAACCACATAGGGTCATTAAAAGGCTTAAATGAGACCACACTGTACAGCTGGCGTAGTACCTGGCATGCCATGGGCAGCCAGAGAGTGGTTATTGTTTTAGGGGGTGGTCGGTTGAATTGTACGGCTCTTATGCTCATATTTTAGCTTTCTTTTGTGAATCCACAGAGTTGTGGGGCTGCCCGATGTGACTACCAAATCCTTATATCCCCCCTGTCCCCAGGGGAGTCCAGCTTTTGCCTCTAGTGGCACTCCCTGCCCCGTGGGAATCGGCCCTCCCCACATTCATGGGCGTGGCTTCTCACGTGTTCTTCCTTCTCTTAGGAGTTGGGGCAGGAACCAGGAAAAGTATTGAGGGATTTTATTGTACAGTCTTCCCTCAGTATCCGTGGAGAATTGGCTCTAGGATTCCTTCCCCCAAGGACACCAAAATCCATAGATGCTCAAGTCCCTTATGTAAACGGCGTAGTGTTTGCATATAACCTACACACACCCTCCTGTCGACTTTAAATCATCTCTAGATTACTTATAATACCTCATACAATGTAAATGCTATGTAAATAGATTGTTATGCTGTACTGATTAGGGAATCATAAGAAAAAAGTTTGTACGTGTTGAGTACGGATGCAACCATCCACTTTTTTTTTTCGAATATTTTTGATCTGCATTTGGGTTGAATCCAGAGATATGAAACCCATGGATACAGAGAGCCGACAGTATGTGTTTTATATTCTATTTTATATTTATGATGACTGTTGATGATTCATGTGTTGTTTGCAGAGCAAAAGCAGATATTGGCCCATATTGGGAGCCAAATTCTGAACTTTTAAAGTATTTATTGGAAGTTTACAGTTGTTCAGAGTGATGGGCTACAGAAAGCCACACATGTTTCTGTCTTCTCACCCACCTGCTCTGGTCCTGCGTGAGTTATTTGCCTTCAGAACCCCGAGAGGAACGGAGGTTTGGGCATAGAAATGAGCATCTCCTTGACTTGGACCTGGCTGTGGTGGACCCTTTCCTTTCTTCCTTGTCCTTGTGGTCATGACTTCTTGAGAGCTCAAGCTGCCAAGTATTTCAGGTGACCACCCACATCTTGGGCCTTCGGTACTTGGGCTGCCATGGATGTTTAAGTTTCCTGGTGCATGTGGTTAAGTGACACAAGTGTCATACGTTCCTGAGTTCACACCCACTTCAGCCACTTAGTAGATGTGTGAAGTGAAATTGCCCCTCTAGCTCTGTTTCTTTCTCCATCAAATGTTACACTTACAATAAGATGTCCACAGTTCCTGCCACAGGAACTGTGCTTAATAAATAGAAGTTCTTTTGAATGTTTTAATGGAATTACACTTTTTTTTTCTGATTGTTACGGATATCTTTATGAAGACCGTACTTTTAAAAACTGTTAACAATCAGATATGAATGCTACCATCACCATCATCAGCATTGTAACATGAGAGCTGATCTTTAGTGCTTTATGGTTTACTGAGGACTGCACTGACTTCGCATAGGACCAGAAGATAGGATTGCTCTTCCAGTTTCAACATTAGGAGATTGCTCCAAGGTCTCCCACTGGTTAGGGCCCAAGGCAGCACCGGGTGCAAGCAGGCTGATCATCTCCTCATTGACTGGGGTATGAGGAGGCAGTGTGAGTACATCTCTTTGCAGACAGTAATTTGTCCCCTTTGTAGTTTCAGAAGGCACACTGCTGTATAGAGGGCACCCTCCCCTCACCTAGGTCCAGACTGCAGCCTTCAGAGCCATAAACAAGAAGACCCAAAGGTGCACTGGGATTTGCCTTTGCAGCTCCCTGGTGGTGACAGTGGTTTGTCCCCCTACCCCACTGTGCTGGCTGCTTTCCCTCCTGCGTTATCTCAGAACCTCCTAGCAGGCCTTCAAGCTATCATGCCCATTTCACAGATGAGGAAAAGGAAGCTCACAGAAGTCAAGGGACTTGCCCAGCTTAGTGGAGCTGGGAATCCGATGTAGACCTTGTCTGTCTGACTCTGGAGCTCTCCCCTTCGGGCACTGCACCCTCAGTCAGGCCCAGCAGCTGTGCATCAGGGAGAGGGGCCTGCAGGTAGCCTCTCTCTGTGGACTGAGGCCAGGAACTGCCCCTCTTCCTCCTGGCTCTCGTTGGTGGGCAGGGCTGGAGGCTGCTCTCTGCACACACTCTTCTGGCTGCTGGGACTCTGCTTTGTTTCTGCTCTTTGGAAGTACCTGGTGGTCACACAATTCTGACCAGACACCACTTCCATGGGCCAGGAATCCCTATGCTGGCAGATTCGCCTCTGCCCCTGCTCTGCTGGCTAGGAAAGCCTGAGGGGCATTCATGGAACCAAGGTGACTGCCCACCTGCCAGGTGCAAGGTCTCTGCCCTATCAGCAGCACACTCCCTGTCACAAGACCAAGGGACTGGGAGTTAAAGAGACTCACCCGGGGTAGGATTTTTTCTCAGGTTGCAGGCCCTGCAGACCACAGGGATTTCATTTCACCCTCTTCTGTCTGCCCCACCCCCATATTCAGTAGGTAGGAGCTTGAAATACTTTTGGAGTGATTGGGTTTTCCAGAGTCCATGCTGGTTTGGCTGGGACAGCCTTGGGGTGTAGCCCTTGCTGGAAGTCACTTCACCTTTTTAGATCTCAGTTGCCCGGTCTATGAAATGGGGCTGACTGTTGGGCAGGGCTATTACAAAGGTCACCTGACACTTGAGAACAAGGTTCTGGCAGATGACAGTGCTCAGTTCAAGTAAAGTAACGCAAACCTGAACCTGTGGATAACTGAAAACAGGCTACTCCCCCTTTGATTTCTTTTGTATTGCTGTAAAAGCAAACACCAGAATCACAATACCTGAAGCAGTGGGCTTTGTGGTTTTTCTTTCTTTTCTTTAAGTAGAGAGTCAAATTTCTTGATGTGGGGCATCTCACTGAAATGACTCTGCAATCTCACTCTTCTCTGTTCTCCGAACTGTTGGTCCAGGCCATCCGGGTATTCTTCATGCTGCGTTCCCTGTCACTGCAATTGCGAGGGGAGCCCGAGACGCAGTTGCCGCTGACTCGGGAGGAGGACCTGATCAAGACCGACGATGTCCTGGATCTGAGTGAGTTGGCTGCTCTGAGTCACAGCAGGGGTCTGGGTGACATGGGACACGGGACACCGCTCTGCTGATCACTAGCCGCTGGGAGGGTCAGTGTGCAAGCTGCATTTTGTACTGTCGTTGAGCTGTGACCATGAGCCAACAGTGTGCGTGTCCCATGCACTTTTTGAAGAAAAGGCCCCCAGGTTCTTTGAGGTCAGTCTGAGGGTTCTGCTTTCACAACCAGCTGGTTCTCTTAAAAAGTCTCTGCAGGGCAACTGGGGGCTCAAGCAAGGGTGAACAAACTCCAGGGTTCCTGCCCTCCCTGTAAACATAGTGGCACCAGTATGGCTCATTTTATATATTAAGCATTTTCTATATGATCCCAATGATAGAAGGGTTCTACTGCTAAAGAAAGAAATGTGGAAAAAGCAAATCACCAGTGCTGAGGTAAGGATGAAGGCTTCAGAGGCTGGAGAACCATGTGCTCAGCCCATAACCTTGAGCTGCTTGTTCTACTGTGTAGTGCCTCAGTGTTCTCGTCTGCAGCAGGAGGCTGAGTTTTAAAGGAGACAGTGGGCGTAAAGCCTGACCGTGCTCCTGAAACGCCTCTCGTATTTGTATAGCTTTCTCTTTCCTCCATTTGCTGCAGGGCACAGGCACATCAGTGAGTGGCATGGTTTTCTGTTTCTTAAGGGTGTTGTGGTATATTGGGAGTCATTAGTTATATGAGACAGAAAACCCAACTTAGGCTGGCTTATGGAAAAGAAAGGGAAATTGGCTTATGTCACTGGGAAATCCAGGAGTTAGCTGCCTTCAGGCATGGCTGGATCTGGGTGCTCAGTGTCATCAGGAAGCTGCTCTGCTCTACTCCATCTCTGAGCTCTGCTTTCCTCTGTTCCAGCTTCATCCTCAGGAGGGTTCTCACCAGGTAGTGGCAAGATGACCATGAGCAACCCCAAGATTTGTTCAACCAGCTAAGCAGCCCTGATGGAAAGAGAGCTTCTCTCTCCCTTTAATTCTCTCCAAGTCTGGGGTAGAGATGTTATTGGCCTAGCTTGGGCCATCCCTGAACCAGCCAGTGGTCAGAGGAATGTGACTCACTGATGGCCTAAGCTAGGGATGCATGCCCAGCTCTGGAGTTGGGTGGGGGACAGTTGCTTTTGAACCCCATCACTTAAGAGAGGAAGGAGACAGCCCTCAAAGGAAAATCAAAGAAGGGATGGTGACTGAGTGGGCAGAAAAAGCTCAGGCCCCTCTCTGTCGGGTTGTTGTTGCTGTTTTAAATCAGCTTTATTGACGTATAATTTACATGCAAAAAAATTCCCCCAAGCATTAGTATGTAATTCAATGAATTTTGACAAAACTATGGTGTTGTGATCTAGACCCTGCTCTGTATTCCCTTATACAAATGACAGACTGCCACAGCCTGTTTCCACTTCTGTAACATGAGATAGTCTTTCTTATAGTACAGAGTTGTTTTGAGGATTGAATGAAACAGCATATGAAATATCTGACCAAGCATGGTGCCTCCTGTGTAACTGTACTCAGCAAACTGTAGTCAGTATTACAGGAGATTGTACGTGTGAAGAGCATAGCATGCCGCCTGACACGTAGAGGTTCTCAGCGAATGAGGATTGTGTTACCTGGTTGTCTAGTTTCTTTTTCTGGCCTTCTTGTTTATGTTTCATCTTTCCCTTGGAAGAATAAAGAAGCTGTGACTTCTCTCCTCCATCTCCTTTGGCCCTTTGCCCTTGAGAAATGGCCACAGGGATCTCTCTAAGGGTTTAAATTGATCGAGTTGACTGCAAAGAATCGTAAACCAGTCTTCTTCTGATTTGATTCAAGGAGAGAAGGGCTTGCCTTAAGGGTGGGGGCCAGGGGGCACTTCATCAGGGCAGCAAGAATGTTTGCATCCGTGTAATGGAATTAAATTTTATGCTGGCAATTCACATTCCTTCCCTCATCCCCCCAGGAATAGCCTGCTGAAATAAAGGTTAAAAGTTTTTCACTTATCACTTTTAATTGATTAGATTGCTAGTTGAGCTCACTTAACTGAGCCTTTTTGGGTAGTTGGCCATTAAGAAGGTAATGGCTGTTTGTCTTTGCCCAGCCTGATTGCAAATTATGTCTTTTGCTAAGGAGGGTGACATTCAGAAAATACTAGGAATTATGGATGTTAAAAGCACATGGTACTAAAATAAGATATGCCTGTGTTGTTGTTTTTATTTTTGTATTTTTTTTTTTTTTTTTGAGGGAGGGACTGTAAATGCTGGAGCTTCTCCTAACCTACCATTGTAATGGGGGAGAATCATCCTACTCTGTAGTCTGACCAGATGCCTTCAGTGTGTACAAAATACAGGTGAAGGACAGGTGAAGCCGTTCTTACTTGCTGCATGACTGGAAGCTGGGCATGCTTTTGTCTCCTTGATGAGCTGGAGAAAGCTGACTCAGGGAGAATTGTTAGGGACTGGTCACCGTTCTCCTGACTCGATGTGGTCTGCCAGGCTTAAAGGAGTGCTGTCTCCACACAGCACGAAGATGCAGCATAAAGCGTATTCACTGCCCTTGTCACACTTCAGTCAGAAATGACAGTATAAAGGATATTCCCCAGAAGCCACCACAGGTGCTTGCTGACCAGCAGCAGGCCTCTGGGCCAGGTGTGACAGGCAAGCTCTGACATAAAAGGTAGCTTCTCAAAAAAACAAAAAACAAACAAAAAAAGGTGGCTTCTCACGGGAAGCCTCAAAGACGTGGTCACCACTCAGGAAAGAGGCAAACTGGTCATGTTTCAAGTGAAGCCTGTTTTGTTTTTCACTAGAGAGGAGAGTGTCACAGGGCAGGGGTCAGGAATGGGCAGCCACGTGTACCACATCTGCTGGAGTGATGGGGGGCTGGGCTGGGAAGAAAGGAGGGAGGAAAGTGGAAGGAAGTTGAAGGGAGGGAGGGATTGGAGGAAGAAGGGGTACGGGAGGGAAGGGAAGAGGAGAGGAACCAGATAAAACAGTAGATTTCTAGAGGAAATAGCATCATGAATCTCCGTACACCCAGCCCTCAGCTTCAGTTGTTTTTACTATTTTGCTAAGTTTTATTTTATCTGCCCTTTCATCTATTTTAAATACACCACTCACGCAGGCAGTGTATTAAAGCAAATGGAAGACATCATATTATTGTATGTAGAACTACCTCTCTCTAACAGAGAAGGACTTTGCATTGTTCCTCTCAGTGGAATTGGTGGCCACCTGCTGCAAACCGAGGGCTTCCCAGCCCCAGCTGCCGGTTTGGGCAGGAGGCCAGGGTGCAGGGGCCCTGTAGACAGGGCCTGTGCTTACCTGTATGCTGGTCTTGTTGACATTTGATTTTGCAACCGCTGGTGTCATTGGAGTAATCAGCTTTGCAATGTGCCCCAGAGTCTTCATGCCTGTAAGGCTCAGTGGCCTTACCTTTGAAATAGTTCTAGGGCTGGATGTGGCGGCTCACACCTGTAATCCGAGCATTTTCGGAGGCCGAGGTAGGAAGATCACTTGAGCTCAGGAGTTCAAGACCAGCCTGGGCAACATAACGAGATCTCATCTTTACTAAAATAAAAAAACAAATAAAATAATGCCAGGCATGGTGGCACACACTTGTAGTCCCAGATACTTGAAGGGCTGAGGTGGGAGCATCTCCTGAATCTGAGATGTCGAGGCTGCAGTGTACCCTGATCGTGCCACTGCGCTCTAGCCTGGGCAACAGAGTGAGATCCTCTCTTAAAAACAGAAAAACAAAAAAATGGTTTCTAAAAGACTTTCCAAGGAGTGCTGTTGAGCTCAAATGATTATCACGTGTAAAGCCCACAGCACCATGCTTGTCACTGAGTAGGTGCTCAGTGAGTGGGAGCTGGCCGCATCCCTGCTACAGGTGCTGAGCACGCAAGCTGTGACTCATCCCGCTGGGCTCCATGGGGCTGTCATTTTTCTGCTTGAGCAACGCTCTGAGGACGGTATCTGAAACATTCAAGTCATCGCCCAGATGATGGCACTGTTTTGAGGGGTAAGAAAGATAGCTCTGGCTGCTTTGGCCAGAGGAAGGGAGCTATGTCCCATCTGGACTGTGGGACTCCCTCCCTCCAGTGTGCTCCTGTCCAAGGACAAGCAGACTTTGAGGAGAAACCACAGATTCCTGGGGATTGACCTCAGAGCCTCCTTAAATGACTTTGCCTGCTTCCAAATACCATGAGCGACCGCAGTAGGGGAGAAATCCATCCACTATCCATACACTCCAAAGAGATCCCGGCAACCAGGCGTGTTCAGTGTCCAGTTTCCTTGCAGCCTTCTTCTTGTGGGCACCTGACATTCACACAGTTGCAGCCATAGCATGTGCTCCTTGTATCCAACTTGTATTCTGATCTCTCAAATCCATTCATGAAGCCCATTCAGTGAAAACCCATTCATGCATTCAGCTATTTGTGGAGCACCTGCCATATGCCAGGCCCAGTGCTAGGAGCTGAGATGTGACAGCGAGCAAAAAAGCCAGACTTCGCCTCCGTTCTTGGGGTGTTTCCATTTGTGGGGGGAGGGAGAGGATGGAAGTTACAGAACGGGGAGGAGCGTGGACTCAGGGGCCAGACTGTGCCTGCATGGGATTCTTAGCTTTGCTGTTTTCTGCTTGCCAGCTGTATTACCTTAATACCTTAAGGGAACTGAGTCTCCTGGGGCTTCCCTTTCCACATCTGTAAAACGGGACTTGCTGGGAGGAGTAGATGACTATTATGTGTGCTGTGCCTAGAACAGTGCCTGACAGCATTGTGGAGAGGCCATTTAGGAGGTTGTGGCAGGGACCAGGGGTCAGTGCTGGTGGGCAAAGAGGGACGGGACAGTCTGGATACATTTTGTGACAGTTGGCAATGATGATGCTAGAGAGCTCTGTTGACTGTGGGGTTCTGAGCTTGGAACAATCCAGGTGGCAGGGGCTGTGAGGATGGTGAGGTTTATTTTTTGAGATGAGTCTCGCTCTTTTGTCTAGACTGGAGTACAGTGGCATGA